TCAGCAAGAATACAACTGGTTTGTCAACTATCTGATGTGGAATAATTATGTAAAGATGCATAGTTTCACGCATCACATTGTTTGGGATCTATCCCAGTGCATTGGTGAACTGTTTCAGTCTTCCAAGACCTGCATGCACTGACTTGTTCATAACTGTGGATCTAGAAATACCGTATTCGACGTAATAAGCGTCCCGCTCTAATAAGCGCCGACGGCGATATTTGCTGATATATTGGCTTGTGAACAATCCTAATTAGCACCCCTTCTGACCCCTATTCGCATATAATACGCACCGCTTAATTCCCCTATTCGCGTATAATACGCACTCGTGTGTTATATGCACCCTTTATTATTGGCAATTAAATTCTGGAAACATATCTGTCGCACATAAACATTTCAGGCTGTCAGCGAAATTTATCTTTCAACTCTGTTTTTTTCACCAAAATAATATTCTAATAAGAGCCCCCTATTTCTAATTTTGAGAGCGCCCTGGGCGCTTATTATGTTGAATACGGTAACCCAGATAAACAACAATTTCCGATACTACGAAAAAACCCAAATTGTATCGAGAAATCTGGATGTTTCTCTTGGGTACTCTGTCACATTGATACGGTACATATTTTCTTAGCACATCACATCAGTGTACATGTCATCAGTGTTTCAGTGAGGCTATCAACAGTTGTTTACACTACTCTCAATATTCCAGCTGTACGAGAGGTTATTAATACAGATTAACACTTAATGGTACATAGTTATCACCCAATGAATCGACTTCAACCCTGTATGAAAAGTAGGTCGCAATTCCGATGTGTGTGTGTGTGTGTGTGTGTGTATGTGTGTGTGTGTGTGTGTGTGTGTGTGTGTGTGTGTGTGTGTGTGTGTGTGTGTGTGTGTGTGTGTATATATATACGACATCTTTCTTTCCCAGCTTTGAACAATACTTGATATATCTTTGACACAGACCTCATAAAAATTACAATATATACAATGGTCATTGAACTGTTTCACGAATATTTACATACATGCACTTGTCACTTAATTATTTCACCAATAATAACATACATACCCCTGTCATCAAATTATTGTTTCACCAGTAATTACATACATACACTTTTCAATGAAATGATTTACAAATAATTATATACATACACTTGTCATAGAATAGTTTCACCACTAATTTCATATATACACTTGTCAATGAATCTATTTACCAATAATTACATATGTACACTTGTCATTGAATGGTTTCACCAATATTATCACACACACACTTGCCATTAAAATGTTTCACAACTAATCTCCTATATAGATAAATATATACATTGCCTCCCCCTACATCACCCCTTCCATACTGGATCAATTTTTCCATCCCAGAAAGTACACACATTCACGGTCTTACTGGACACCACATATCTTGTCCGATCTCACAGAAACTAAGAATGGATGCAAATCACATGCACTACATCTGTTATGGACACAAGAGAGTATGGCCGATTGAATCCTTGAAGACATTTTGGTTTTAGCATTCACACTAGATTTACTAATATTTCTATTCTTATAAGAAATACAATCAAAGCCAGGTCCATGTCAGTGGAGCATATGCCATCACAAATACTTCACATTGTATCTGTTGTCAGTCCTCACCCTGGGGCCCCATCTGCCTAGTACCCCAAACATTACTACTGAGACCCCCAGGTCTCACAAATAGATAGACCAGTCCCTGCAGTATTCCACAGCGGAATATTTTGCAGAAATGCCGACTTGATGCAGAAATATACCTTTTTTGCAGAAAATGATATTTTGTGCAGAACTTGAGCAGAATTTTACATATATCTGTAAGAATTCATCAAATACACTACAGGATTTTGACATGTGTGTTGAAACCTGGATTTAAATGTGTAAATGGATAAAACTAAGCTTAAACATTTGCAGAATTTTGTGCAGATTTATCAAAATTTGTTTGCAGAATTTACAAAAATTGTCCCTGCTTTGAGACAGGACATCGAATCTCCTGATTATAACGAGTCCAGTTCAATGTCAATTGGGCCCTTTTACAATAATTTCACATATTTGTTTAAAATGTGTTATTATCCTAATAACTACTTCATTTCATTATCCCACTTCCAACAGTGCGTACTATTCTTCATAACATGGTCACACCTCATGGTTATAAGAGCAAATTGCCACCTTCCCACAGGCTTCATTGTGCTTGACACTGTTTGAAGGTGCCAGGGAATACTCCTACATATACATGGGTTATACAACATACTAATTATCCTTCTGACAATTGAGAGGTGATACAACCTCATTAACACCCAACAATATACACTACAGTGGTGTATTATGTATTAGAAACATGCTGTAACATTGTGCAACAAGCTTGGTCATTGATGTGCTGTGTCACTAGACGATTAGTAGCACATCTTGAAACAATGATTCTTGTTAATTTTTATGTTACAATATCATGCATTCTACCATGAATTTGGAATTTACTCGATTCTGATTGGTCAATCAGAGGCTATTAAATCACAATAAAACTCCTCTGATTGGAACAGCTGGTTAGACGCCTGCAACACCACAGAGGCTGATATTCATAGAATAGTACTATTTTCAGTCATTGTCGGTAGGCATGTTTAAATAATTATCTACAATTACAGGTTACAAAATGCACAGATGCAGTTAATACAATATTCAAAGGATGTGTGGCAATACATTTCGTGCAGAAAACATGATAGAAATCTACAAAGAGAATGTATTTACGTTTTGGAGATAACAGACAGCTTGGAATTTTGGCCCTTTTCCATATACGACTGTGACGTTATATCTGTTGCATCACAATGAGCGACATGACGTCATAATGGGGAACGAAAGCCTTGCAAAGTTTGATTAGTTTTCTTTAGGGATGCGCACCTCATGTTAGCTTACCAAGTTGCCGTGCTTATATGCTTTCAACACCTGTCATATGTTCGAGTGAAATATTAGGGTGTAAACAAACTGCTTGAGTATATACATTCAGTTCCAAATTCAATTTAGCACGGTTAAATCTACAGCTAACCTAGCTTTACATTGAAAACACAGTATGTTTATCTCCTAAATCATTTACTTGATAATAACACTCATCTCCTTAGTTTACAATCTAATAATCTACACAATGAACAAACATAATCATTGAGATGATGATGATGATGATGATGATGATGATGTTGGAGATTTATCAAGCGCTTCCTGAGGTGCCAATTTCGCATCAATGAGAATATCTAATTAATTATATCATGGGGGGGGTCATTTACAGATAAATATCCAAATAAAGAAGGTCAGGTAGGTACTACTTTCAGTGCTTACTGACAAAAATGGTGTCGCCCATGTCTATCGAGCCAGAACTGACTGTCGGTAGTCTAGACAAGTACTGGGATACTTGTTATGATTATCAAAATAATAGACTGAGACATTGAAAAGCAGCCAGAACTGACTGTCGGTAGTCTAGACAAGTACTGGGATACTTATTATGATTATCAAAGTAACAGACTGAGACACTGAAAAGCAGCATCTACATGGGACATAGATGAGAAGAGAAGAGAAGAGATAATGAAACAATTTAGCAAGGACGATTATCATACCAGTTTCCAATCTGGCAGTTGAGCCACCGTTAGTGAAACAAGTTTCCTATGCAGTCAACTACCGTATTCGACGTAATAAGCGCCCAGGGCGCTCTCAAAATAAGAAATAGGGGGCTCCTATTAGAATGGTATTTTGGTGGAAAAAAACAGAGTTGAAAGATAAATTTTGTGGTTTACGCTGACAGCCTGAAATGTTTATATATGACAGATATATTTTTCCAGAATTTAATTGCCCATAATTAAGGGTGCATATAACACATGAGTGCATATTATACACAAACAAATAAGTCTTGTGTACATTCATCAATCGGAAGGGGTGCTAATTGGGATTGTTCACTAGCCATTATATTAACAAATATCGCCATGGGCGCTTATTAGAGCGGGGCGCTTATTACGTCGAATACGGTATATATTTATCTGTTGTCAGTGTCTGAATAATCCCTGAGTTTGTGGTGGAATATATTAATGTGACATACCAGGAAAGCTTGCAGTAGCTAGGTACCATTTGTGAGACATATCAATGATAGAATTTAAGAATGACATTCTGGAAAGATGTTAACACACGTGTGTGTTTATTCCCAATACAGGATATGCACCATCCCAAAACAGACTGGCATGATAAACTGTGTACATCCTGGGTCAGAAATAAGGCAGGATAAAAAAGGTTGGTTCTGACATTTAATTTCAAGAGAGGTTAAGTATGTTATTTTAGTTTTTTGTTGTTAACCCTGCAACATTGCAGAACAACTGAAACATAACATGACATGTAGAGATTCAAGGAGTAAGAAGACTTTTTTACAAAATCTGTGATGAACCTCTACAGGATTTGACGAATGAATACCAAGATTATTTCCATGATTGATGACAAAAGTGTGAATTGGATCACAGGAGGAAGGCAATGCTGGATGTAACTTGAGTTATACACAGGTCCAGCTGAGATACCATGAAGTGCTTTACCAACAACAAACAAGGCTGAGATTAACTTCATAGAGCAGAGCACATCAAAGGCAAACCACGGACTTCAGGAAGTGTCCGCAAATTAACCACAAACTTGGTTTTACGTTCGTAAAGGAAGACGTGTCATTCTGGTATAAAGAGTTATTCATGAAACACGCAATACCTGGAAGTTCGAAGGAAAAATATGAAAAATAGTTGAAAGTAAATACTGAGGTCGAGACATTTACAACTTCTAGCCGGATCTGTTGCTTTGGCAGTTTTCCACCAACTGTCAAATTATGTCATTTCGATTGACAGTTTTCATTGAACTCGAGTTTAATCACTGTCATTTAGTATTGAATGTTAATATCCCACCTGTGCGACAAGGTGTTAGATGAGTCATATTGTATTTGCGACAAGCTTCGTCAGTTTGTTTATCAAACTCACCTAAAACAAGCTGGATGCCAGTCCCAGCCTAGCGCTTGGACGTATGGCTCGTCCCGTATTGCTAGTCCACAACCACGGCAGTTTTGCTCCTTCGCTGAAATAAACAAAACATCTCTGAGGTATTTTACGTCGAATCAATTTAAAACGCGAGAGGTTTCACCTGTTTGAACAACTTACTTGAGCAGTCTAAGTCGGCCATATCACCACCATAATTCACCATTAGTCACTTTCCTGCCTTTCTCGTTAGAGAGTGATCAAGAGTTATGTCCCTTATGCGCAAATTTCGGTTATTACGTCCAATAAATCATACATGACATGCTATAGGCAAATGTCAATAGCTGTATTGATTTTTTTGTTCTACATAGAAGTCAATAAACTATTCGTATGCACAGGGGAAATAATTCATGATATAGCATGGTTCTCTCACCATGAGGGTCAATGGTGGTAAACAATGTTGCTTTCCACTCGTTCTGTCAACAGTTGACAATCAGTGTTGAACTACATGCATATTTGATCATGGCGATAAAGTGGTATCGAAGCTGGTATAAAACCTGACATTAGCACATTTAGAGATAACGCTTGTCAAAAAAAAATTTAGTATTATGTTTCTCAATTTTAAATCGACAAATATTGCATATCAAATTATACTACAATTTTCGAATATTTACTTAGGCAAAATCTTGAAACTGAAATACGTTTTTCATTTCGCCAATATTTAAAAAATCTGAACTATAAATTTCATATCTAGATGTTTTCTAACCCAGCATACCAACATATTGCCAAAGTCTGGTTAGTTTCTTGGATGTTCCAATATCACATTCAACGAAATCTGCAGCAACTATTTTACACACCTATTGAAAGCATTTTGTCTATTGAAAAACCACACATTTACCCGGGTATTCGGTGCGTAGTCGATGCGGATAGATTCCTGTCCATACATTATTCCGCGAAAATTTCAATGAGAAATTTCGATTCGACAGGTTTCCTAGTATGAGAATGTGATGCATGTTTATTTGCACCAATCGAACATTGCATGTTGAAATATTGATCATTTTATTTTAGAGGTGCCAATGGAGGCATAATATTATCAAAATTAACATATTATTTTTAAATTTTCGTTTTTGAGGGAGAAATAAAACAAAATTTCCAGACTGTTTTCCTTCCTTTGACCTATTTAATTTTTCTATTTATTATTTAAAAAATTTAAAATTTATTATTTTCAAATATAGATGACTCTTTATTGTGTCACTCATGTTCCGAAAACATATATAGTGTAATAAACTCAATATTACCGTCAAGGAAATAAACGCGGAAACCGTCAACAACAACTGACATCTCTTATAAAAAAAAATATTTAAGCTTATATATTTTTTTCAGTCGTATCATATTTAAGTTGAAGTTTAGTAGCATTTTACCGGCAACATTATACTTAAAATACCATTCATTCTGTGGAACATTAACACACAAAACACATTCTAAAACACCCTTTGCTTGCAGGATTATTTGTAAAAAAACAAAGGAATTAATTGATTTAGTTAAACTTCATTGCGTCATATTAGTTGGCTAACATTTACTTTTTAAAATAACGTTGTATACGCCACATGAACAAATATAAGAAGGCGGAGTTTATACATAATTGGACTTTTTGTTTATTTACGTTCTCATTTGTCTACAATATGGGAAATATGAATAATGTTTTTTCCTAACTGATATTTTGCTTGAATATACTACCGTTGCACTGTCCTCATAACCTGTTTGTGAACCTTTTGTTTCAATATTTGTGACCAGGATCTTTGCATTCATGTCACGTGATACCACCCATCCCTTGTGGCAGATCGCACCTGTTTTATTTACTTAAACCGGCAAGAATGATAACGACCTTTCTGTTGGGCTTTGTAAAGTGGTTGTTGCTTTTATAGTTAATTATTGCATAAATGCAAACTAGAAAATGTTATACAAATAAAATGGGTTGAAAATTATCCAGAGACTCATTCGTCTTGCCAAACACGGGGACTTGGTGGTAATTGTATGTGCGCTTCATATAATTTGCTGCTTAAAGACATGGTCGACACTGCTGCACAAAACACCATTCACATCTAAGCACACCAAGGGACAATCGAAAGAAAATTAGATAAAACATACAAGTTTTGCATGAGGAAGTCGAAGATATCAACATATTTGTAATCATATAAAATTCGTTCACAACAGATCCTGAAAGACTGAGTTGAGAATCCGTTTTCACCACGACACAGTATGAAATATATTTTTTAGATAAACAGAGGGTCAAAAGAAAGTATACCGAGTTTGCTTTTTATTTAATTGAAAATTCAAAGGACTGTTGCCAAATTTGATTACCGTATTCGATGTAATAAGCACCCGGGGCGCTTTCTACATGGGACATAGATGAGAAGAGAAGAGATAATGAAACAATTTAGCAAGGACGATAGTCATACCAGTTTCCAATCTGGCAGTTGAGCCACGGTTAGTGAAACAAGTTTCCTATGCAGTCAACTACCGTATTCGACGTAATAAGCGCCCAGGGCGCTCTCAAAATAAGAAATAGGGGGCTCTTATTAGAATATTATTTCGGTGGGAAAAAAACAGAGTTGAAAGGTAAATTTCGTGGTTTATGCTGACAGCCTGAAATGTATATATACGACAGATATATTTTTCCAGAATGTAATTGCCCACTATTAAGGGAGCATATAACACATGAGTGCGTATTATACGCGAACAAATAAGTCTTGTGTACATTGATCAATAGGAAGGGGTGCTAATTGGGATTGTTCACTAGCCAATATATTAGCAAATATCGCCGTGGGCGCTTATTAGAGCGGAGCGCTTATTATGTCGAATACGGTATGTCTGTTTAACCATCACTAATTCCTTCTACAGCTTGTATTAAAGTAATCTCTCGCTGGGTGGTTTTGTGTAAAAATAGATTGTTCAATGGAGGCTGGGATAAGAAATGAATTTGCTACCACATGACCCCCAGCATGTTTGAAATGTTGTAATTTTGTACACAAAAAAGCATATTTGTGATTTTCAAAGATAAAATGTTTAAGATACCCACCAACATTTGTGTATTAGCGACATATAGAGAATCTCACCCGAGTGTCTTTTGATATCAAATATATCAACGCGAGTTGATAAAAGTGGAAAAATTCCGAGGCTTGCCGAGGATTTTTGCCACTTTATCAACGAGTGTTGATATATTTGATATCAAAAGACACTCGGGTGAGATTTTATTTATCATCCAACATCATTCTTCCAACTTTTTCAATTTGTAGACAGTAATTAGCAGTGTCTTCAGTGTAAAAAGTACTGCTAACAACTTCAGTAGTAGAGCCATTAGTGATGTCATTTGATTGTGACGTCATGGTAACAGTGACGTCACAATGGTCTGCAAAGCATTGTGATGTAATTTCATTGCAGCGATATCTACAGTGTAGATATCGCTTGATCTCATCCAAGCGATATCTCCTGTGGGAGCCAGTTTTGGATGATAAATTTCTTTTATTTTTAAAAGTTTTAAATCCAATTATATTTTTGAAAATAAAGTATTCTCTGAATGCTGACTAAGCGCCAGTACAGTTCATTTTTGGGATATAATGTCGCTAATTTAAGATATTTTCAATTGAAAATTAAACTTATGGTAAAATCTGCTGAGAGGTACAGTTCCCTTTGCCCCCAGTTTATCATTCTCTGAATATAGTTAGTCGGAAGAACGAGAATTCCCCTGGAAGTTATATAAATTGTGGATGGCGTGGGTCTATCTCTGCATTTATGGTGGGTAATTGATATAGTGGGGTTAGTATCCAACTAGGGTCGCAACGTCACAAGACAATATCACTGTCTGAATAACGATACGCACGATTATAATATCACACACGGAGATAAAAGTATCATCTAAGTAGATGATAAAACTATTTTAGACTGCACTAATACGCTTCCATACTCCTCTCCATGTAGACAGACAGACATTCTTTATTTCCTCCACTAATTGAAGAGTACATATGAAAGTAAATTAGGTCAAATCATAAATGACTTCTTATTAACCAAAAGCAGATAACAAAAACATATAAACACACAATGCCCTTCTAGGTAGATGCCAGTGAACAGTAACGGTTATAAATAGCTTTGTTTGATGAATAACCTGCAAATATGTACAAACTTTGAGACAACCAACACAAATTGTATCCAAGTGCTAAAATCAACACGACAAAAAGTGTTGTGATCTCTTCCAAGCAAACAGTTCAACATTGCAATGTGATCCTGGTCACAATAAATAATAAAATCGTTTATGTGCAGCAGTGAAGAAAGTTTATCGTACATCTGATTTCTCTGTTGTATGAGTCCTTCACAGTCAATGATGACGTGATTTCTACAGTCCGGTACTGTGGTGTGGCATAGTGTACACGTAACATCACCAGGTTTTACTGATGCCAGATATATCATGGATGATATGTAGAGTTTGTGTGTTGGATGAACGTATGCTATTTTCCACAAATGATGCATACGCACTGTCGGGTGAATTTCGTAAAAAGTTCATATTGATTAAGAAACTTCTTGATCACAGAGCGCCATCTCTGTTTGTCCTTAAACGTGCCACATTTGAGATAAGCAATGCGTATTTCTATTATATTATATTTTCTAAACAGTAAAACTGTTTCTAGTATCAAACTGCTGATAATATTGAAACCTGCTAAACAGTTGCCTAATTGCTATAAGAAACGTTGCTTAACTAAAAACAAAACGATTCCTTTGACATGCTGGGTGTGATGAAAAGCATAAACATAAAAACTGATTTATTGATTTATAAACACTTTCGGAAACCTTGCCACATGATACGTTTCGAAGTCAACAGAAACTGGTGGCATAGCCCCGGACACCAAAGTAGGTCTGGATAGCGTTCCATGTTTTCTAAATTGGCTTCATTTCACCATCCTGATACTTTAAATTGGAGTGTTTAGGTGTATTATAGACCTCTGCCAAGTGAGTGAGTGAGAATGGTTTTACGCCGCTTTTAGCAATATTCCAGCATTATCACGGCGGGGGACACCAGAAATGGGCTTAACATATTGTACCCATGTCGGGAATCGAACCCGGGTCTTCGGCATGACGAGCGCACGCTTTAACCACTAGGCTACCCCACCGGCCCCCTCTGCCAAGAGATCTCGATCGATCTGTATCGGAACATGACAAATGGATATAGCTAATGTTTAATGGAAGTGTGTGATCCGGTGGTT